ATGTAGTCTGCGGGGCTGTGGGACCGGGAACGTGTGTCTGTGTGTGCGTCTGTACGTTTGTGAGTATGCGTCGGAAAGCTCGTCAGTGTCAGTTGAGTGTCAGTTAAGTGGCAGTTAGGAGGTGGTTGTCATGCAAAGTAAAGTACACGATGAGTAAATGACACGTCACAGGCCAGGGGCTGGCCGGGTTGGCCGGGCCACAGCGCCCGGGATGGGATTTCCCCGGGTTTCTAAATCTTATCCCTCACCTCGACACGCTCATAAGGCCCCAGTAAGGAGGAGTGGGGCTGGCAACCGCCAACCGCCGACGCGCGGCAGCTAACTCCTCTCTGTCTATGTGACCTAACTCTGCCCCGACCCCTCTTAACCAACTCCCAACCACCAACGGCAGCTACCACAAGCTCACTCTGACGCTACTCAAGGCTTCTTGGCGGAGGGCCTTACGTCTGGTGGTATCTCGCCGTACAGCCATTGCGAAGGTGGCGGCGGAGATGTTGGCGGCGGAGGACGAAAAGATCAGCGGTGGGTTGTTACTGGGGGTTCAGGGGTTGGCGGGTTAGGTACGACGGGTCTCATGTGGGCCCTATGTCCCCCTCCCTGAGTCGTGATGGACTTGATGGGCATCTGCCGCATGTAGCTGATGTACTTGGCTTGGATCGTACCTTCATGCATAAGCTCCTCCGTATCTGTATCGTACATTCATGGCGCATTCGGGAATCCTTAATGTGGGAGCTCACCCTGACCCCGCTTAACTAATTTCCCCTGTCCCCCCATCTCCCCTCCCCACCTCTTTAGGTGCACGTCTTGTTGAGCTGATCGAGAGCACCCCGCTGGATCCGCTGGGGGGTGAGGGGCTGGATGCCCGGGCGGCTGAGGAGGTGGTGCAGGAGGCGGGGAACCAGTTCCTGCCGCTGCTCAAGGTGGAGTGCGGGGCGCGGTAGCTGGTTAGGGGGAAGGGGGGAGGGGGGGAGGGGGGAAAGACGAACCACGAGCGAGTGAAGCTGCTGCCAAGGAAAAGAGTGCTGCGGCAGATGTACAGGAAGCAGAACTGACCAGGGGAGGGGAGGGGGAGGGGGGCGGAAGGAGGGACCGGGTGGTGGTAGGGTGAGACGGCTGGGGGGGAATGCGGGTTAAAAGGGGAAAGGGGAGTCAGTGCTGCATAACCACGCTAGCGAACCCAACCAACGGCACGGCACTTCTGACTTCGTGTCGTGTGTATACCTCTTCCCCAATCCCTCAAGCCCTCATTCCCCCCCTTACTCCCTAACTCGCCTGCTACCTTGCAGATGTATCGGCGGTTATCCCTTATTGCCGTATGCAAATGTTTCCCTCCCTCCCTCTCTTCGGAGTTCCACTCCAACCCCCCCTTTCCCCGGCCCCCTCGGGGGCTCCCCCCACCCCAAATCTCCCCCCCTCTCCCTCCTCTCCCCCGCCCGTGTGCAGGAGGTGTTGGGTGAGGTGCCCCACATCATCCTGACCGGGGAGAAGCTGGCGGACGACCAGCAGCAGGCGGGCGGGCCGTACGGCCCCAGCGGCAGTGGCAGTGCCCAGACTAGCTTCCGTGTGCCTGGAGCGGGTAGCATGGGCATGGTGAGGAGGTTTGTGGGGGGTAAAATTACCCCTCTCCCTAACCGTGGCCTCCGTCCCGACATCCTCTTCCCCCACACGGACGTCAACCCCCTTCCCTCTCCCCGGGGGCCAGATCTCGTTGCGTGTGGGTTTCCCATCCCTTCCCTTTCCCCCTTTCCTTTCACCTCCGCCACTTTTACCCCCTCTGCAGGCCTCCTTCCGAGGATCACCCTCCGCCAGCTCCTCCACCTCCCCACCCCCCCTGCTGCTGGATGACGTCACGCTGACGGAGGTGTCCCGGGCCATCGTTGGCCGGCTGGATGTGGTGGACCTGGTGGGCAGGAACACGGCGCTGGAGGCGGCGGAGAGGGTGAGAGGGGGGCCGCTTCATGGGGAGGGGCGAGGGGAGGGGATGGGGCTGCCTGCCGTCCGCAGTGCTGCACGGTGCCACGGGGCTCACCGCGACATACGACAGATAGCCTGACGAAAAACACACACACGTGTGCGACTCCACCCCGCGTGCCGCGCCGTCAGGTCCGGGATGCTCTGCTGCACCCGCACACCCGCGAGCGGCTCAGGGCTGTACGGCGGTGGGCGGAGGATCCGGAGGGGGAGTTCCCGCCGGCGCCCGTCACGGATCGCGAGGCGGCAGCGATGGGACCTGAGGGGCCGTTGTACGGCAGGCTGGCGCTGGATCTGGAATGGTGAGGGGAGTGCTGGGGAGTGTAGGGTGTATCGTTGGGGTTAGCCGGGGGGCCCGGGGGGTAAGTCGGGGGATGATGCAAGGACATGGCGGAAGAGACGGAGCAGTAGACGGAAGGCGCGGCTGCGTCCGCCGTGTCCCCTGTCTTGTTTTGTCTGCAGTATGTACGGCCCCCCGCATTACAGGAGCAGGAATGGAAGCTTTTGTGACGTGAAGGGATGATAAGGACAAGAGGAGGGTGTGTGGTGCTGTGTCTGGGCTACTGCGGCCCACTGCCCCTGCAGCCGTTGGCAGGTGGCGGGTGGCGGGGCTGCACCCGCGCGGTCATAAATTGCATTTCTAATTTCCCCTGCCCTCTCTTTCCCCACGTTTGTGTGTATCGCACTCTTCCCCCCCCGGGGCCCCCCTGATCCACGCCTGGTGCCCCGCCCCTCCACCCCCCAGGTGGCGCAGTCGCCGAAGTAACGCCATCAGCTGGAGCGCCATGGAGCTGCTGTTCAATGAGAGACAGCGGAAATACTTTGCGGAGGACGCCGATCTGCCCAGGTGGGGAGAGGGGGGGAGAGGGGGAGGGGTTTCGGCTTTAAGGTATTCCATGGTCTTGTGCTGTGGGACTTGCGCTTGGTGTAGGAGTGGAAACTGGTAATGGATGGGATAGAGGTGGGAGAGAGGGAGAGGTGGGAGAGAGGGAGGGTGGGAGAGAGGGAGAGGTGGGAGAGAGGGAGGGTGGGAGAGAGGGAGAGGTGGGAGAGAGGGAGAGGTGGGAGAGAGGGAGGGTGGGAGAGAGGGAGAGGTGGGAGAGAGGGAGGGTGGGAGAGAGGGAGAGGTGGGAGAGAGGGAGGGAGGCACTGTTGGGCTGCGAAGCTCGGGACGCACGCGGAGGATGCGATTCGAAGGCTGCGTGGTATTGGGGCGCAGCGGCATCGTCTGTATGTATGTCTCTCCGTCGGTGCCCTTTCCTGGGCAGGTGGTGATGAGCTAGCTGATTTGGCCGCCTATGGGCTCGACACACCTTTGCACGGGTCTTGCGTCTGGGTGTGCGCCTTGACAGCCCTGGTCGCCCCAGGTGCCGTACTGCACGGCCAGCTGGGCCCCTCTGGTTCTATTGGTCACGCGAGCCTGGAGCCCACTGTAACACCACCACACACCTTTTGGGAAAGCAGGACGGGTGTTTCAGCCAGCTAGCGAACCCCTAAGACACCCTTTCCCCCCTCTTTCCCTCCTCTTTCCCCCCTCCCACACTACCACCACCACCACCACCACCACCACCCTGCCACTGCCCTCAAAAGGGACGAGGACACGTCAGAGGGCCGCAAGAGGGCGGCAGCAGCCGCTGCGGCGGAGGCCCGAGCAGCGGCGCGCGCTGCCTCCTCAGCCTCCTCGATGACGACGTCCCCCTCCGCTGCTGCTGCTGCTGCTGCTGGCCCCGCGCCGCAATCCGGAGATCCCTCCCCGGAGGGTGGCGGTGACGGTGGCGGTGGCGGTGGCGGTGACGTCAGCAGCCGTTAGCTCTGGAGTTATTCTGTAGTTGTTGGGATATATGGGGGCACGTGGGGGCGGTTGCAGCTACCCAGCTGAACTGCATTCCAACGTTGCCCCGTGTGTTTTAACGTTGGCCCCTGTCCGGTCCGCTCATGACTGGCAGCGGGGAAAAATGTGGGGTCGGGGGGAGGGAGGTGTCAGAAAGGGCCGATCAGGGGGCCCCCCCGAGGGGGAGTGGACGCGGCCAGCTGGCTTCTGGGCTTGGGTTCTACGTTAGTGCATGGGGAGCTGGTGTGCTGGGGGTGGAGTGGGAGTTGATGGTGATGGGGAAGAGGTAGTGGGGAAAGGCAGTGTGTGTCTGTGTGTGTGTGTTTTGGGAGGATGGAGCTTCAGGTATTCGTACAGAGGCTGCCAGGTCGCCGATAAGGGAAATGGGGTGTGTGGCGGCGAGAGCGCTGGTCGGGTTCTGATATGAAATCATCGCCGTTTCGGCCTGGCTTGGGCCCCCTGGGCTCCTCCTGTTGATCCCGTGCGGTGTGAAGTGAAGGATGCGGGGCGTGAACGAGGTGGTGGTGTGATGGTGGTGGCAAAGAAGCGGGACCTCGTCCTCGCTGCCTGGGTCTTTTTACGTGACATGGAGGGCCTCCTTGAAACCATTCTGTCAGTGCATGAAAGCAGTGTGAGTGAAAGCTCGCGGAAGCGCGTCCGTTCAGCGAATTTATTTCACGGCCCTCGCCGTACAATTGCGTCAGCGGTCGTTGCTCCCTGTTTGCTTGGAAAGCTACGATTTTAAGACATACATAAGTGCTAGATTGGAATGCTGTGTCTTCCTGTATTAAAAGGGAATACTCAAAGCTTTATTCCCTGGAAAGATCGATTGATACACTAGAACACGATGGCACAAGTAGCTTTGTCGCTTGCAGTCCTACTCTAGGAATCCAGGACGCGTTTAATAAGTTTAGTATTCAATTTTGAACAGCGCCAAAATGATCTCAAAAAGCATTGTGCAGTCGTCGCCACAGCCACAGTCTCAGGCCGTCTGTCACGCTTGTAAATCCCGACGTTTACTATCCCGACGGCTTTTTCAGCAAACATCTACCAGGCGACAAGTTGATTGCGGTGCCGTGGCACCGGAAACTTTGCAGGTGAGGTCATAGCTCATGCGACAAGCAAAGTCGCATCGGCCCCCAAGATTAGCTCAACCCTACCATCCTTGACGGCACCTATTTTCAACTATGACATACCAGGATATTATTGTGGGGAGTGCTGTATTGGGAGCTGTGAGCGTGGCCTTGTACTCAGGCCTGAAGAAAGACCCGGTTCCGTGCAGCCTTTGCCAAGGCACCGGCGGCATCAAGTGCTTTGGTTGTGGGGGTGAAGGGAGGTTAGCGTCTGCGAAGCGTGATGACTTGTACGAGGGAGGGCCACCAAAGCGCGACGTGCTCGGGCGCTCCATCAACCCGCGGGAGTGTAAGGTCTGCAAGGGCGTAGGCCTTGTCCTCTGCAGCCAATGCAAAGGCAGCGGCTTTCAGAGCGCCTTTTAGGAGGTTTTGGACTTGGTAACTTGCTTTGCCTTGTCGCTCAGTAGTGCTACTGCTACTATACTATCCTGCTGATGTTGTTGCTGGTTTGGCCAGGAAGAATTGAGTGCAGTTTGGAGCGTGCTGCGGTGTGTTTTTCTTGGTTCCGGAGCACCTGTTTTGATTGGCCCCAAACCAAAACTGCATGAGAGCGGCCGTATGTTGGGAGTCTCGGCGGGTGCTGATGCTGGTGCAGGCGGTGGTCGCGAGGGCGGGCAGTGCGTAAGCATTGCATGGCTAGTTTGCAGACCGAGCCCATCTGCCGCCCCGGTACCGGGTGCTCGGAGTGAGTGATGGACGCGGCCAGGGCACGGTTTCGCAGCTGTGGTACGAAGAGTGGTTGGGAAAGATTTCCGGACCAAGTTGTGGCTTTGCTCTGCGATGTTTTGCCAGGGCTTATATGGGTGAGACCTACTTGGCCAGGTCGCAGCTTGCAGGATCCATCCTGAAGGCGGTTGGGGCTGGTTGTGTCGGAAAGTGCCAGACATCATACATACAAGCGGAATGTGATACAGCCGTAATAGCGCCCTAGGTTGGATCAGGCAAGTCCTGGCGGGGCCCGCGAGTGAATCTTATTGCGCAAGTTTTATTTTTTTAAGCTGCAAAAGAAAAACTGCTTTGAGAAATTTGGAAAGAGATTTGTGGGAAATAATGGGAATCGGGTGCGGATTGCAGCTATAACACGCAGCGGGGTGGTGTCTGACGTTTTCCACTGCTGTCGCCGGAAGAGGCACAGGCGGTCATATATGGATGTGTGGCGCAAAGCCAAGCAAACCATCGATTTTTTAATTTGGAGTTTTGTTTATTTCCAAGTTGACCCTTCACCGCTGCGCGGTTGTAAGTTTTCGGACACCCTGGCGGGTAATTACGATATGTACGACATGCATGAGCGGCACGTGGCGCCTCGAATGAGTCGCCCCGAGCGTTTGATGGTGCGACGACATTCTTGAAAACAGCCGGACAGACCGACATACATTTTTGGAAGAAGAACCGGAAGGGGCGACAAGGCCTCGCGAACTCGCGAAGGGAGGGAGCCAGGAGAGCGGTTAGACCCGCCAGTGCCCGGCTCCAGCTGTCACCTGTTCACCTTGCCATATTTGGCCCCTCGTCGCAGTCCCACCTCCCGCTTCCCTCGCGGAGCGAATTTTGATTCGCTTAATGAGCGGATGTCGAATGAGGGCGGAGGTGACGTGCGTGTGAAGGGGAGTCTCGTACATGCGCTTCCGTACAGGTTTGCAGATAGAGGTTGTAATGGCGATGGGGTTATTTATGGCGATAGCCTTGAAGTTCGCTTTGGCGGTCTCCCCACCTGCCCCTCTCCCTGCCTCTGCTAGCCTCCACAACCCTGGCTTCTCCAAAACGTCAAGGGTTATACAAGGGTTCATAAAGCAGTAGCCACACACACACTCACACACACACACACTCATACAGTGTCATGATCAGATCATAAAAGCCCGACGAGGTTAAGCCGGGTTATAAATTATCCACATAAATCCTATAGCTCAATGATACTAGAGATCTTGTTGTTCCTTTGCCTATTACAATGCACCGGCGGGTCATTCTTCAGTAACGGGACATCAACGGGATACTACCGCATGTGCACCAGCCACCAGACAGATGCAGCTATATATATATATTGTATAGATATACACATCGGTAAAACGTGAACAGCAACAGCAGCACCACCACCACCACCACCACCACCCTACGCTGTGGTCCAACGCGGACCTCCCTACAACACATTATAATAACAGCAACCAACTCACATTCGCCTGTAGGCGTGTGTGTGTACGTGATGTTCGTACATCCGTACAGGGTATACTGCGTAAAAGGAGTTACTCCGGTACTGTACTGGCAAAGGGTGGCGCTGAGTAACACTACGCAACGAGTGGAGCGACTTCCGCGACTTCGAGAGAACAAAAACCCGAATCCGACCGCACCATGCATAGCAGCAGCGCAGGCAGCAGCTTCCCAGCGGCCTCGACCGCCCGACACACTTAATAACAAGCACAGGTGCTACACTAGCACACGGCGCCTGACGCGGCGCCCTACCTCACATATTCGAAACCGCGCGCCGTACGCTACCTTGTCATCTTCCTTAGCGGCCCACGTCTTTCCAGAGCGCCCGGGGGGTGCTTCCCTCCCCTCTATCGACCCCTATTGGCCCCCCCATGCGGTGCCCAGACGCCAACGAGGGGGCCGATTCATAATCACATAATAAGGTGATGGAGGGGGGTTAGGGTGACGGACGTCGGCGCCAAACAACAAACCTACTGCGCGACCAAGTGTCCAATGGACCGATGGCCCCCTCGCACAAGACACAAATGGCCTCTGGAGGGCAGTGAGGGGATGCGGAGAGCGACAGACACCAACTGCCCCCAACTGCCCAACTGCCCAAACATAAAAATCGCCGCTACGCCACCCACCGCCTCTACCGTTGCGTTTTTAAGTCTGTTGGGTCCTATACCGTATACCTAGAATCTCGTAACTGTACATATGTGTTACGTGCGCAGCTGCGAATAACAGTGTATAGACTATAGCACTATGCGTATGGACAGTAGCCCACTAAAGGCCTATTGCGTGTTCTATATGCACTCTCTATACCGCGCGTTGCCATGTTGTCCACCCACCCACCCCCAACAAACACACACATATGTATATATGTATGTATGTATAGCCCGGAATGCACCTGTTATGTGTGTTGGTATACATGTACCACTGCCGTCATCAAGAACACCGTAAAAATAAGTATATATGATAGTCCGTGATGTGGTTAGTTCAAATAACACCGCGGTGAGGTGATGATGTCCATAACGACATATGTTCAGATGGGGGACTCTGATGCAGCTGCCCTAGCGCCTGATAGCGCTCCACTCTAAAACAAGCAGCAGCTGCATCAGAGACTTCCGTGAGACCGTGAGGTAAGCTGGCGGGGGTGTAGGCTTCGTGTGAGTTTGTGCTGCTTGCTTTCTTTTGGCGGAATGAAACATCCACATACACACGCGAAAGGAAAAAGACCCCACCGCCGCCGCGGCCTCCAATCTAAAAACGTCATCAACCATAAACGCGAGGAAAAATCAGCGACATCAGCGACAACATGAAGAGGAAAGGAATGCCCGTGATGCTCAGGGCGGTGGTGCGTGTGACCTACCGCCGAGATCCTTAGTGGTCTTATGTATGTGTGTCAGTATGTATGTGCATGTGACTGCCGTACCACGTCTTCTTACCGGGCCGTGATCCCGCCCTCCCCGGGCAACTCACCGGCTGGGCTCAGCTCCCGGCCGCCGAGCTTACCCGACCACACACACATACACATACACACCCCAATCCCCTCACACGCCCCCCGGCATCCCGTCCTCCACCCCTTCCGCCCCCTCCGGCCCCCTCCCGCATTACAGCATATCGTCAAAACCCCTCCGGCAGCAGCACAGGCACCAGCGCCCCCCCTGGAGCCACATCAAGTTGCTTGGCCGGGTACACCACATCGTAATGCCCGGGCAAGTGGGCCACCCAGGCCACCGGCGGACCCAGGTGACCCGTGGGTCCGTGCTTGATGGCGCCGACCTGACTTCCCGCGACATCCAGCACCCCCAGAGTGATGCCCAGTGCCCGACACAGCGCTATGATCTGAGTCGCCATAAAGGCGTGTACGTGCACGCGCGGTGGTGGGGGTGGGGGTGGGGGTGAAGGTGGTCGGGGGGGGAAAATGCGGGGTGTGGGGGGGAGGAGGGCAGCGTCACACCACATCACGTCAGCTCACCCGCGCATCATCATGGGGTCCGGGGGCACGTGTTGTGCGATGTTGGGATGTGGTGGTGGGGGGTTACAGGGGGGTTAGTCGAGAGAGGCAGTTACTGACCACCCCTATCATATCCCGTCTACGTAATAGGATGAGTAATAGGATGTGGAATAGGATGAGGATGGTCCTGTAGAGTGATGAGCCGTCACGTCCTCCTACCCGCACCTCTTTTTCGCTTCTGCCCTCCCCTCCCCCCCCCTCCTTCAAGAACGTCTTCGGGGGTTTGGGTTCTTACCGAGAGGCGGAAGCACGCGGGGCCCCCGCAGACAAAAGGAAGGCACCCTCAACCCCCCTTCCGAGCCGGAGAGATGGCGCACATCCCGACATTCCCCCCCCAACACACACACACACACAAACACACACAGACACACAAACACACAGACACACAAACACACAGACAAACACACACACAGACACACACACACACACCGCCCCAGAGCCCCACCTGCAGCTGCTCCACCTCCACCCCCATGGGCAGCACGTGATGAGAACAGATCCATTGAAGACTCATTCCCGAGTAGTCCCTGCGTGCACACGAGTGAATGCATTCGTGCATACAGACAGACAGACAGACAGACAGACAGACGTGTGCAAAGCAGACACATAGCTTTTCAGGTAGGCATCAAACAAAGCAGGCAAGGGGAAGGCAGGCAGACGAACGACTCACGATCATCATTCTCGAACTAACTCTTATTTTTAAAAATTTATATTTATCTCAATCAGGCCCACCCCCCCCGGTTCAGCGTACATGCCGCAGCCCGGGATGAACGGCGCGTAGAAGGCCTCATCCGACACCAGCTCATAGACCGTGAGGCTCCTGGCGAACCGAATAACTTCGGAGCTGGCGGCGCTCGAGTTGAAGAGCCGCTCCAGGGAGGTCACGTCGGAGGGCTCCGGGGCGTCGGGCGCCTGGTGGCGGTGCAGCAGCAGCAGCAGCAGCGCATTTCACCGACAAACAAAACCCCAAGTTACGAAGGAGGATAGATGTACGGCGGAGATATATACACACGTGCAGGCAAGGTAAAGGAACGCAAAAGGTGCGGATGGCAGGACGCGTGCCATGATAGCCCGTTTCAATAGAAGAAAAAGACATTTTTACAGACGTACAGACGTACAGAAGTACACAAACCCGCAAGCCATGTACACTCCAGACCCTGCAGCCGCACCTAACGCCCCGAGGATCCCCATCCACAAGCCACATAATGACCCTGCCGTACACCGTACCTTGAACCAGGCCGTACGGAGCAGCCGCAGCAGCCGCTTGCCGCCACGCAGCGCCACCTGGTCAACACTCCTGCCGCCGCCGCCACCGCCACCGCCACCGCCGCCGCTGTCGCTGCGGCCTCCCCGCTCGGGGGTGGCCGCCCGACTGCGCGAGCGGCCACCTCCCGCACCTTCGTCCCCCCCGCCCTGCGGGACCCCACCCACGTCTTGCAGCGCCTCCAGCTTCCTCACGTAGCGCCCCACCAGGTGCTCCAACCTGAAGAAGGGGGGGAGCAGGGGGAGGGAGCAGGGGGCGCGAGGGTGCCACATGGGGGGGGGGCATTTTCAGGAAGCTCGGGGTTTAGCTCATGTAGTCGGGAGCGGTTGGGGAGCAGTTGGGGAGCGGTTGGAGAGGCGAAACTGCCGGCAAGCGGGTCCCGCCCAGGTTGGCCCATCATCATGGTGTTGGCGGCGGCCCGCGATGGTGCTCCGGAAAGAGTTGTGCAGCTGCGAGAG